TTTTTAGGTTATTGAAATCAATAATTGTGTTATCTTGTATTGAATACTTCATGCTATATTTGGTATCAAGAGTATTTACAATTAAGCTGATCTTCCATGCAAATTTGTCATGCCTCATTACTATTTGTATTAGCGCATATTAGTTAATTACAATCAATTTGTTTGTTACAGATAACCAACATGTCGCAAAATGCATCATTTCGACCCATGAAGTATCCATATACTTTAACCGCGAAGCTGGCCCAATTTCCTTATAAATATTACTGGAACCACAGTTGGATGTTTAAATATACGATAATTGGTGCACTCATTGCAGTTCCTATATTTTATAAAATACAAAAATTATGTAAGTCTCATATAAACTTCTTTATTATCTGTTTGAATTATTGGATACATGTTGTTTTTGTTTTCAGCGTATTCTCCTGAGAATGTTCAGAAGTGGGACAAAACCCATAAAGAAATGTTTGAGGGTACCGGCCATCATTAAAGTAATATAATTGTTAGACATATATTGAATGTAACATGTAAGAGAAAAGCAAGCTGTAATCTTCTCTGTTACTTAATTAGAAGAAATAAATCTTTAATCATATATGTAAAAGATGATTTATGAAGGAGAGGCAAAGGGAACTGTTAAAAAGAAAAGTCTAAAGATTTGTATTATCAAAATAATAATCGTATAAAATACAGATAACTAAGATAATACTTTTATAATCATTTAGGAATACAGTCGATACTTTGTACCATAATTGATATATAAATCTTAAAAATTTTAAATACATAAAAGAAAAAAGTAAGTACTATTAACAGAAATTTTTCAACAAATTGAAACTTATTCTGTAAACATTACAAAATAAATAATCCTTGGTTGATGATAATTACACAACGTGCAGTACAAAAGTATCCAATTTTATTGTCTGGATCTACAAACATAAATTTATGGATGATGCTTTTATAACTTACGCAGTTTCTTTAAAGCCGTGCTCGTATTCTATTATTAAAGCTCGCGTATAGATGATTTCAAGAAAAGCAAAATTAGTAGTGATTATCACGTATACAGTCAATTCTTAAATATAACTACGGCAATGAGTATATATATGTTGCCATTTTACGCGAATATTAAAATAATAAATAATTTGTCGATGCAAGAATATATCGAGCATCTTTTTTCATTCACATCTATAGAGAAAATAGTGCTATCCTTGTACTGATCGAAGCAAATGGAGCTAAACAGTTGTAGACATTTCAAAATGTTCTATGCATACATCTAAAAGTATATGTAGTGTGATTATGTATATGCATTCCTGCAAATAATACTGCGTAATGTCTTTATTACAAAAGCTTCGAAAAAGTTGATTGTGAAGTGAAAAAAATCTTTTTCCTCGTATATTTGTATCAGTGATTCTCTGCAGAATATGATCTTATAGTTGTACTATCTCCTGAATTTGTCGTAATTTTATATTACTCGAAAGAATTAAAGTATATATAATTTACATTTTGAGCTACATACAGAATCTTCCAACCGCTCAATATCGGTACGTAAGTCCATATATGCTGAGTTCAAAATATATAAAATATGAGCGGCTTTAGATTTAAATTTTATGAGTATACATCATAACCAAATATATATATATATGTATATGTATACAACTAATTTTTTTCATTCTATCTTCTTTTCTGTATCTCTCTTTCATCATCTTCACTTTCCGATGCGCCGTTCTCTTTAACATCATCGCTATCTAATCTCGACCTCTTGATCTTGGGTTCCTCTTGAAAAAGCGTTTCATCAAAATTCAAACCTAATTCCTTGCAACGTTTCTCGAAGTACTTGCGTAATCGCATACCTGCACTGTACACGTAACTATTTTTAACAAGACATAGCCTCGCTTCTTGTATACACATGTCCAAACTGGTTCGGAGGCCAAAGATTATTTACATCAACAACGAAACCTTATTTGTATTAAAAGTTATAGACAGATCAAGTGCGCTCATAAATTTTATAATAATCAGATGTAAGAAAAATGGAATTCTTCTATTAAGCAATCATGAAATAGTTAATCACAATTAATATATAATAATTTAATATAACGCGTAAACTAGCATTTTAATGCATAATAATAATGACATATTCAAATATTACAAGTACAATGTGTTCAATTTGTTATATTCTATTTTTGATTTGCAATATTTTTCGACCTAAATAAGTCTAATAATTATATTAATAATTCACTTGTAGATAATAATAGAAATATTAATTTATTATTTTGTTATTATATAAGTAATATGGATTAGTTATATGGATGTTAATTGAAATCAATATGTATATATAATTATTGTTGATAGATGAAATATATAAATTAACACTGTGTATTATTTAACATTGTAATCTCTGGCATCCGAACTTGCATGAAGTAGATGACAATGACACATTGATACCTACTTGTACACAGAACTATTTTCTTTGTTGTATAATCCACAGTTTTCGAAAACCAATTGGCAGTCGCTAAAGAATTTATCTAGTGTCTCGTAGTTGCCGTTATTAAGTTTATACTTAATAGTTCCAAAATCCATCGGATTAGAGATAATATCGTGGTAGTCTGGAACTTCTTCTTTTGTAACGGGCGACAAAAATGGCCACGAATCTTTGTGATGCCAAACATCAGTTAATAATTCTTGCAATCTAGTCATGGATCCTTTAATTGAATTCTTGTCTTCTTCATGTTCCATCTCAGCGGCTCTTTTTGTCGCACGTCGCGTTTGTCTTGGTTCAGTGTCATCCGATGCACTGCTATCTGTATATGAAAAATTTCTATATTGACATATATTGTATATTTTGTATCATTTCAATTCGAAGTTATTTATTAAGACTATACTAAAAGCTGAAGTTCTATTGATATGATTGATTTTTATGTGATAGAAATGGATTAGCAAGAGCAAATTTCATTGCTAAGATGATAAGGTAAATATTAAGCATTTACATGACAAGGATGTAATGCTATTAGGGTCTGTCCATAACGAGAAGTACCTTTTTATTTGGATGTCAAAATGGGAATTATATGCATGTGTGCGCACGTGTATATGTGCATATGTGTGCTATATTTTACTTAAATAAAAGTTAAGATATATGATTTTATATTTTATTGTTAAAATTCTATAAAAAAAATTTATATATACATAGATTTCAAAGAAAGAAGAATCAACATCATAAAATTAGCTTAAAGTTCTACTAATTAAAATTGACAATCGAGTTATAATTATTAATTATTTATTATTAAATATTAAAGTTCCGAAAGAAATATAAACTAGTAATAAACTAGTGATATAAATTAGTTTGATATATTTTCGATATAGTTTCGTAAACTTAGATTGCATTCTAATTCACTAATAATACTGAAAATATATAATTCACATATATTATATATTTTCAATATTGGCAATATATTTAAAAGCAGCTTTAATTGAACAATTTAAAAAATTTTGAATATATTTTAAAATAAACTTTTATAATAAATTATCTCATATGTGGAAACGCAAATATATATATTAATGTGTTAATACATTTACATTATGGGAATTTAAACATGTATAAAATTCTCAATTCCTTTATCTAAGACATTTTTTGTATGTCAATTTATTAGATATACAAATGTTTCTATTAATATGGGATAATAATGAATCTTGTATAATAATGAAATATAATTTTTCTGAATACAAATAATTAGGCAGAATTAAAAATAAATGAAAGAATTATTGAATTTTATAATAGATACTCTTCACTTAATCACTTTAATTCATATTGACTTTTGATTATTGATTATTAACTATTGACTATTAAAAAAGTCGAATTTTAAAATAAAATCATAAGACCTGTTTAGGTATTAATGAACAGACCCCGACTTTTTAACGTGCTGTGCTTTCTAAAAAAGAAAAAGAAATGGCCATGATACTACACACACACACACATACACATATATATATATATATATATGTAATGTGTACAATAAAAAAAGGGATACAATACAGACCGTCCCAGTCTGTAGATTCTGTAGTGAGGAGGCTCTTGGCAAAGCCATGGATGCGAGAGCGTGCTGCTGCTGCGCACAGTCTCTCCTTGTCTCTTTCCCTCTCGCGCCCCCTCACTATCAACATAATTTTAATGCTAAAAATCTTTCATACAATATTCTTATAGCAACTTTTATAATTTCGATCTATATTCAACGTGGGAATCTTTTTTTTTAATTAACAAAAAGAATAATTTGTTAAAGAGTTTCGTCTGTATATTTTTCCGTTATTACTTCTGCATTACCTTTTGTTGCGTTCCTTCTTTTTTCTTTGCATTTGGGGCAAGACCATCTTCCTCGAGGAGCTCTTGACAATGGCGGTTCTATGCATTCTAAGTGATAACGATTTGAACACGTGTCGCAAGCAATTAATTTTCCACCGCTTTCACATGACACGCATAGGTTTTCTAGTCGCACGTTTCTAATAAAATAAAAGCAAATATTAATAAAAAGTAATAAAAAAAAAAACTTTTTAATGTAACGGAAAGATAATTTACATATCATCCTCGCTTTCTTCATCATCTTGATCCTCTTGATCGCTTTCATCATCGCTATATGTTAAGCGTTTCGCGCGATTGTGTCGCGTCTCTTTGGTCAATATCGTCTCATCTTCAATCTCATCTTCAAATCTCTTTCGTTTTTGAGTTTTCTCTTTAGGTTTTATCTCTGGTGGCTTACATGCTGTACAAAACCAATCTCCCGCTGGTACAGCCTGTATATAGAAAATATCAGGGACATAATAAGAATAAAATTCAGTAGATTATTAATATGGAAGCATCAGTGTAATAAACTAATTACTGTAAGTTTCGGTTTCAGGCAATAGAGATGATGCCCTCTATTACATCCGTCGCAAAGCAACATGTTCTCCGCATCCCTACGTCTTCGACATATACGACACTGAGCGTTTAACGCGCTTCTGTCCCACGCGACGCTATTGTGTAAAGTACTTAAATGAACAAACAATTGAGACCAGTTTGTAGATGCTAATAATGATTGTTCCCATCTCTCTCGTGCCTCTTCACCCGACCATTTTTTATCCTTTTGATCGGGCCCCAATGGTCTTTGTAAGTATCTCTGTTCTATAGCTTGAGACAACTGTAAAATGGCACAAGCTAATTGTTTAATAAGTGCTTGTTGCTTTTGATCGGGAACCATTTCATCATCACCAGGTAGACCTAAATATATTCCTGGATCTTTATAAGTTTTTATATTGATACTTCCAACCTCGGAGTCAGGAGTACCGGGTCTACTGTGTTTAGATTCGTTCTTTATTTTGTCTAATAGAGCATTAGGAGGCATATCGATATCTATTTCACTACCAGCACATAGCAATTTGTCACACTGTTTATCATAACTTCTTTGATCGATCGCCTTCCTCCAAAGAGCTCGATCGGCAATCTTAAGGCATCCTAAACAACCTGCGTTGATCTTATCTTCAAAATCCAAAATATGATCTCTCAAAGTCAACTCCAATACGTCGTCGATTGGCATATCAGGAGGAAAATTTAAGTTTACGTTTTCATATTTATTTTTCTTAACTGCCTTATTAATTTGCCCTTTATTTAATTCTGAAAACTATGTAAATATCCATTTACTCTTCTGGTTCTTACATAGTAGACACATACACACATGTGCATGCGCGCGCGTGTACGCACGTATACACAGATATATAACGTATTTGATAAATTATACAAAAATATACTTACAACTTCAGGATTTAATCTATATTTAGGACATTCATCGATAATAAGAAGCAAATTATCCATCTCTTGTAAAAGGTTATTTCTAAGCTCGCTCTCTCTAATACCTCTTGTGCTTAAACTATCTATTAGTGCTTGAATATCCTCTCGATTGCCATAAAAGCTCCATTTTACTGGTGATCTCTTACAATGAACAGGACAATCTTTATCTCCTGTACATAATATCAAATTTCTTTTAATGTTGGTGAGATCCTGCTTAAATTCTTTGCGAGGGTTTGTTTCTTTCCGTGGTGATTTGATGCCATTTTTATCTGAGGATAAAAGCTTCTTGGGCGACTTTTTCAATTTTTTAAAACTATTCTCTTTATCGCTAAATTCATCTTCAAATTTATTTTTTAGATATGCGTAAGTTGCCTCTTTATCTTGCAACTCTGGATGATGTGGAGTACCTTCAGGAAGACAACTTCCAGGCCAATGTTCATCATTTTCTACAAATACTCCTGTAATGAAAAGGATCAATTAAGGAGAATTAAAATAATATTTTTTTTATATAAAAAATATTAACACTATATTATTATTATATTATTATTATATTTAATCATCAATTATTATTTTCGTCAGATATTTCATAAAATTTCAAAAGTTGCGTTAATTAAAAAAATAAATTCGATAAATTTTATTCTTTAATTATTCCTAATTATAATAATGTAGTAGATAAAGTGCAACATAATATACATTTTTAAATACATTTTTCTTGATATTTTAATATAATTATGAAAACTTAAAGACATTGTTTAACTTGACATAATCTTATTAAGAATTTTTTTTTGGAAAAAAATGCTGAAATAAAATCATATTGAGAAAGATAATACAAATTAGAATTTAATTCAAAATTATGGTATAATGTTTAGGTATCAGATTATATTTTTCCAATTGTAGAATAAGTTTATAAAAGATGCAATAAAATTTTAAAAAATCTCGTCAGTTTTGGATATTTAATGTTTTATAGAAATAAAATCATATACCTGGTATAGATCTAAACTTCCAATATCTTCGATGAGCTCTGTCTGCTCCGAGATAAAGCATCATCTTATCATCCCTCGATGCTTGTTGTAGTTCTTTTAGTTTATTTTCATATTCTTCTTTTTTCTTTTCTTCCTCATAATTACCACGCGTAATCTTTTTCGGTTTCGGCTCTTCTTCCTCGAGTTTTCCTTCCTTCTCACGTTCTCGCATCTTTTCTTTTTCTTCTTTTTCCTTTTTCTGTTCAGCAAGCAAGAATAACTTTAATTCTCTTTTTGCTTGATGTAATTTATCGAATCGCTCTTCAATTGCATCGCGTATCGATGCAAATGTAAGCAACTGATTGATCAGACATGTGACGACTTTTATTTTATCATCTAAATCAAATTCACAGACATTTCGGTGACCTAACAATCGCAATAGATAACTTTCATTTATCCTCAGAAGAAGCGCTGGTTCATCAAAATTTGTATAGCCACCTGTAATATACGTAAATACAATACATAGTACATAGAAAGTATCTTAAATATTAAGTGTCTCAAATGTTATAAATGTTATATTCTACCTTTTTGAGAATATCGCCATTTCGAAGCGGCTTCGCTTATACGTCCTCCGGAACTTAATAAATGTTGCCTCAAAATCTCGCTCAAAGTTACATGATCCAATGTAAGTTCTGATAATTTGCATCCCTGATAAGTCGGACACCATCTAGAAGCCACTGTAGCAAGTTTAATAGCCTTTGTCATCGATGATGCATCTTCATAAGTACTAATATCATCCAATAATGTAGATGCTTGTGCATCAATTTCATTGTCTTCTCCAGCTTGATATTTAAATATGTTTGATAACAATAATTGTAAAAGATCACTCCAAGGACCAGATATTTCTTTGGTCAATAATGCCTTCTCTAATAATTCCAGATTAAAGCTTCCTGGAAAATATACAAATACCTCTAACTCTTCATTAAAAAAATCAAGAAATTCCAATATCATAGCAAATTCTCCAAATTTCTCATTTGGTATGTTGCATTTAATAACAGTAGGTTCTGAAATAAGACTAAGATCTTCACACTCAAGATCTTCCCTCGGCTTGTTCCATTGTTTCATATATGCAGTTAAAGCTGCTAATTTTTGTTTTTTCTCTTTTTTACGCTCGCTCTTTAACACCCTTTCTTCTTTACGTTTTGCTTTTTCTTCCAAAGCTTTTGCTTTAAGTTCCTCTTTAAATTTGCCATTCATTCTGTTAATAAAATATTTCAGAAATATTAAAAATGATATATTAAGATAGACAAAATTTTTTATAAAGCCTTAATCAATAGCTTTTACCTTGGTTTCCGAAATTTCTTCACACCAGTATCATTCACCTTCCTCAGAGGATCTGCTTTTTCGAGTGTTTTTTGTTTCGATACATTTGAGGTGAGAAATTTATCCATGGATTCCTGTTTCTGCTTGACAGATTTCTTTATGCGCACTGTAAAATCTGGGAGTGTTCCAGCAAATATGGTATCAAAACGTACTTTGTTAATTCCGTATTTTTCCAAAACGCTTTCCTATATGGCAATAATATAGAAATAAATTAATATTGCAAAAACGTGTCTTTAAATATGTATAATTTAAAACTATATTAATAATTATTTTATTAAATTCTATATTAACCTTAACAACCCATATACCACTCTCATTTTGTTCGCACAGTTGACGAAGAAATATTTTATTACGATCTCTACTGTAATGTTGCTTTCGTCTTCTGACCTGAGATGCTTCTACGATCATAATCTGACTGACATCGGAATCCCCAGAATCTAATTGCTCCACTTCATAACGAAATAATTTTGCTGGTGGATGATAATAATGTTCTTGTGGACTTCTGAAATAATAGCAGTAATAAAGCTAGATCGCTACAAAATATAAAATAGTCTAACAATTTTCATTCAAATCTATTCACCTGCCATTTTCATTCATATATGCCTTAATCTGCTGTTCTGTAGGTACAATAACTTGAAGAACATGGCAGTTGCACCAAGCGTCTTCAGTAAAGCTAGCTTCTACCATTTCTCCTACAAAATAGCGATCTCTCGCAAACTGATAAACGTCTTCGATCATCTCATTGAAAGAGGATCTATTTGTTTTACTAGCAAGATACAATATAGGAATTCGCAGCTAAAAAAACACCATAAATATATTAAAGATATGTTAATTCAATGTATAGATTACATAAAATCATACTATACCTCCATTGGAAATTCCTTTAAGCTCCTCTTTGCATTTTCTTCGCATTGTACAGCTTCCTCAAATGTCATGTTAGTCTTACCTGTAATGCTGCACGACCATATAAGGGAGTTGCATAAGATAATCCGCTCGCAAAATTCACTAGAACAAAAAATGTATAATGTTTATCGCAACATCATATAAAATGATTTTTTATTTATATACCTTTACATTGAATACATTTAATTAAATTTTTAAACAGTAAATACAAGAAATAAAAAATTATTTAAATTAATAATTAATAAATTTAATAAAAAAATTAGAGTAAAATTAATAAATTTCTATATAATATTCTAGATAATATAGATATCTATATAATATAGATATAATGTAACTATACTAATTTGAAACCTATGACAATGTTTTTTGATTATTAATTTGATCCAATAAATTATTACAAATATTGTATGGTATATTTTCAATGATTTACAGAATCGGATATGCGGGTTAATATGAAAAATAGTACCATAGGTGTAAGGCTAGTATTTCATTTGTCGTACAACAAATTTTTTGAATGTGTTGATTGGCTACAAAATAAAAAATTTCTTAATTTTTTTCAGAAATTTTCTATTTTATAAAACTGATATTTCATGTGTTGTACAACAAATTTTTTGAACGTATCAATTGACTGTGTAAATACAGTAAAGTTTTCAGATTTTCAAAAAATTCTTATCTTATTAAATAAATTTTATCATATAACAAATAAAATATTCACATAAAACAAAGTAATAAATAATATAAAATAGATACATAGAAGTGCAATCGTTTACTGAGTACTTAGTGAGCTTTTGCATCTAATTGATATATTTTTTTATACCAGAATATATCAATCGAATACAAGAGCTCACTAAGCACTCAATGAGTGATTGTGAATGCTTTCCATTTAGTGACACAAGTCGACATAAATATCATTTTGTCCTTGTTAATCATTGAAAGTCAAGAAAGATAGAACTTGTGTCGACTTGTGTCACTAAATGGAAAGCACCCTGTGCTTCTGAATGTACCCAATAGGCTACGTTCCAATATTCACGCCAACACTAAAACTGTATAGTTTGTGTCTTTATGTATATTAAGGATTTTCAGAGAGTCCATAGTTTGAAAATGAAATGAAAATTATAAAGGGGAAGAAATTTGCCAACTTTTAATATATGAAGTAAATATTCTAGTGAATTTCCTTATTTTTCACCTAAATACCTGTAATTTTCACCTTGTTTCAAAATACACAATCGATTCCCATTATTGATAGTAAAGATGAATACTGAATATGCAATAATAATAATAAGATCCACTTATATTTATAAACTAACGATGTAACATACAAGATATATTCTACTTACATAGTCGTTTGAAATATTTGTTATTTTTATATTTCAATAATTTCATAAAAACATTTAATGTGCATTAATTTACCAAACAAATTCGCTATTGTCTTTTATCTTCGTTAGTTCTTAAAAATTAAGAAATGGTATACAAAAGAAATAAAATCGAGATTAAAATTAAGATAAATGTGCAGTATAATGCAGTCTCCTTCAATTTTTCTGTAATTTTGTAAATTTGTGTATTTTTATGTGTAAAATATATTCTGAAAAGGAAAATCGTCGATCTAGATTTTTTTATTTTCAAAGTTTTTTGAGGTTGATAAGTTAGGAAATGATAATTTAATTTATGGCTGTATATTTACATTTACCATATTCTCTACTTTAATCAATTAACATAAATTATTTTCTTATATAATTTAAATTATAGCAAATAGTTTATAAGTCAAAATTTATATCTTTTTCATTCTTTTTAAGTTCATTATTAAAAAATTTTGAAATTAAAAACAGGACTTGAATGATAATTTTCTTTTTCAAAATATATATTCTATTCGTGAAAATACACAAAATTACAGAACATTGCCTATTTATGAAAATGAATATACATTGAAACAGACAATCAGCAATTAAAATTTGTCAAATATTATATAATTGATATTCAATTTGACATAAACCGGAATACCAATCTTTTCACTGAAGGAAGATTAGATTAAACACGTACAATAGCGAATGTTACAATTCGTAATTTGATCACGATTTCGCCGATAAATTAACTGTCGATCGAGTTAATCAGGTCAATCTGATCAAAATTCTCATTATCCACAATTTTTGTACAGACTCTCGCTGTCGCCGCCGCTGAATTTTGTTGCAAACAAGTCTCGAAATTTCGCGCGTCGCGATCTAACCTTGCAGCAAGATTAATCAACTTTTTTTTTCCCCTGTAATTCAGCAGACTCGGGCCGGTGAACGCGAGCTGCTGCGAGGTGGTGCGTGATAAACGATTGATTACGCTTCAACAATGTTCTCACAAATTCTCGAAGAACGCGGTTCACCACGCGGCATGGCGAGATGCGATCCATATCTATTCCAAATTCCGCGAAACCGACGAAGTCATCCGGGACCGATTCGCGACGGTCCGCCGTCGAGTCTCTGCAGAATTCAAGAAAAAAAAAAAAAAAAAAAAAAGTTAAAACTACCGCGTTACTCACGTATAATTCTTGAATATCTCGTTCGTAACCTCGCAATGATACACCTCGTCGTCGTCTCTGAAGTCCGAGGAGACGTGAAGCCGTTGGAACGGCTGTTTGCGGAGCAGCGGCATCTTGACGGCGACGACGACCGCGACGACGATAATCCTCTTCTACCTCTGCCGCCGCTCTGTTCCTCCTCCGTCCGCTAACTCTTTCCTTCTCCTCGCGTTGTCGAAGATCCGCGCCGACCCGCGTCACGGACGTACGAACAACGTACGCCGTACGCTCTCGCCTCTCCCTCTCTCTTTCTCTCTTACGCGCGACGCACGCCAAGTGGCACGAGCTGATGGATGGAAGTCGGTTCGCGCGCCAGGACCGGGAACCCGACGTCAGACCGCGAGGCACGCCGACACCGATCGGCGACGCAACCGCGCGGCGGATCTCCCCCGACCCCGTGGTAATCTCATAACAGAGCTACGCAACGATCTCACCCAACGGCAATCTCACCCGATCGTCGACGCACGATTCAACGGTATACGCGCCTCGCGCACCTGGCCGCCCGTATGTATAGCGCATACACATACGTTGTACGATAATATATATCGCACGGCCGGAAACCACTGCAAGCCGATCGGCAACGGTTGCCAACTTGACATTTCGCGCGCGGATTAGCGCCGCTGGCCGCTTGCCATGGGAACGCAGGCAACCAGAGGATTACACTACTGGGCCGCTATTCATAGGCCGGTCATTCACAGTCAGTTCCTCACACATATTTAAAATTATCTTAAGCACGTGCTCAAGACAAGTTATACAATCATTTCATTTGGCCGAACAAGGATTTTAAGATCAATCTAAAACTTTATTTAAGACGAAATCTTAAATCGAATTTTAGATATCGATCTTAAATATAAGAATTAATTATAAATGCTAGCTACGTTCCAAAATTCTACTCGATGGATAGAGTAGCGTTTACTTGACCAAGGCCGGTGTTCTCAGGCCGATATTCACAATCAGTTCTTATATTTAAGATCGTCTTAAGATTTAACATTTCAACCAACCAGGACAGTTGTATGAGCTTATTTAAGACGATTTTAAATATAAGAATTGACTATGAATATCGGTCCAAGTAGAACAAAAAGAATAAAGATTTCTTGATTGGATAATTAAATGCTACTCTATCCGTCGAGAATTTTGGAACGTAACTTTGGGCCCGCTCTTAACTCCCGCCCTTTTAAATTCGATTCGATTCGATTTAAATCTCGAACCGGACTGATCAAATTCGAAGAAGGACGAGTATGTTGAATTGACAATTGAATATTGTCTATTTATTTATGATGATTATTAAGCTCCTTTGCAGGGTGCAATGGAATAATTTGTGTGAGTACAAAAAATGCGAAATGAAATGAGATATTCAAATATAAAACTATTTCTTATAAAAAAGTTTCCAACGAGCAATCGACAGGTTATTCTATTGGAATTGACCAATCGCAATTTATCCGCAAATTTAACAACAAATACGATTAGTCAATTCCAATGAAATAATCGATCGATTAAATTAACTGGAATTGATGAAAGTGGCCCTGATAGTGAGATCGGTCCTCATATTTGTCATACGATAAAATGTTTTTCGAACGTGTTGATTGGTTATAGAGCAGTGGAATTTTCTAGAAATATTTTATCCTGCAGCCAATCAATACATCCAAAAAGACTCTAGGATTGACGTATCTTGCTTATGTTTTATTTCTCTCTATTATCATTATCTCTTATTTCTTTCTATTCAATGGTTCTGGATCCGTCGTTTTGTTGACGTGATAGTTTTGAATTTGGATGTATTTACACCAAATAATTATTATACAGAGAGAAATTGTATTATATCAACTATTAAAACATAAAAGTACTACTTGCTAGCAATAATCTATCTATAATTTATCTATAAAGTAAAAAAAAAAAGAAAAGAAGAGAAAGGAAGATTGATTATTATTAACGTTGTGTTTTTATAATTTAAAATTAAATAATTGTTACGCAGAGACATAAGTCATGAGTTATTTTAGCGATCTGCATCAAATATCAGGCGAGTAATATATTTTCATTTCTAAAATAAATATTAAAGCAAATATAATTGAAGAAAATCTAATAAATTTATATTAAAAAAGTATATTTTTTACACATTTATTTGCGTAAAGTTTTGATCATGTAATTATATTATGATATTTTTTATACTTTTATTTGCAGATATTTCTAGTATTTCGACAATCCCCCCATCCAGCACATTAATCGATAGAGTCGATTTGTCACAAAGTTTAAGTTTAAACAATCATTCTAATGTTGTAAGAAGTAATCATAAGTTTGCGATAACTCAAGAAACAAGTACAGTCGAAAAAGCAATAAACTCTTTGGTATTATGTGAAGAAAATATTAGTGAGCGTATAAAAACCAATATTGTCTATCAGTGTATAAAGAAAGCATCTTTGAATCACAAAGATGTTCTGTCGAAAAGCACAGCGAACAAATTACAAACATTGCTTTTGATTTATCAATTAGACAAATATATGAATCTTCCTTCAACAACGAAACATATACCAGATGAACTAAAACTTTTGGGAATTATTGATTTACCATCATGTGATTTAAATTCTGATGAGAAATTAGAAGTAAAATGTTGCATCGAGACAATGCTACGAGAAATAATACATGATACAATATTAAGGTAAGCATTTTATCATAGTAAAAGAAGAAATTTTATCAAATGTGAAATTTTGTATTAATTGATTTTTATGTTGTTAAATATGTACAAAGATTAATAAAGTCATCTTGATATCTATGTTACAAGATATGAAGCCTTAGGTGGAAATGCTAAAGAAGCATTGAAGGATAACGAATGTAACACGCGCAACAAATTCTTAAAATGTTATGATGTATCAGCAGTACAATGGAAAAATAAAAATGAAGATTTGATTTTGCAATATGAAAATAACTTGCTGAAATATATAAACTTAATTGATAAATGGAATAAGCTAAAATATGAAGATACAAGCCAAGCATATTTAGAAAAAACAGGATATTTATTACTGCAGGCACAAGTTGCCGAATTACAAGCAAAGATAACAAAGCTTTCTTGCACGATCAGAATGTTCAAAGAAACTCCAACTACTATTGATGCTTTTAAAATATTAAATCAATTAGTTGAAGAAAAATTAAAAACAATCACGGATGAAATCTACCAAAAGGAAGACTTGAAGAAACGTTATGATAATTTGAAAAATACAGAATACGATCAGATATTATCTATCTATTTACAGTTGTGCAATGCAATAAAAAAGAAAAGACACATCTTGGGTATGCTGTAAATAAATAGAAGATTTTGCGATTTGAATGATTAAAATGATGTGTATTTGATTTAAAAGTTTGTATTTGTCTTATAATTATTATACTTTGATATATATTTGATTATTGATGATGAATGATAATTTTTTTATTCACTATCAGAAGTTCTATTTTCATTGTTTAAAATAATAAGTGGTACGCAGTTTTTATCTGTGAGAATTCCATGCTCAGTGAGAAACGTTTCCACATCTGATGAATAAAAATCAATTCCTAGATGATCTGTAACACGCACAAAGTTTCCTATCACTTGCCCATTTTTGTATGCTAACAACGTTGGTACACCAAACTTCTTGAACTGTTTGCTGAGGCCTGCAGTTGAACCTAAAGACATAGAATATTATTAACAAAGTATATTGTGATAAAAAATATATGTTTGTTGCAATATATATTTGAATTTTGATAAAAAGACAATTTTTCCTGAAATTTTGAAAAAATTGATATAAAAATATATGTATATATAAATTTTCAAATGTCAAAGCCATGATTAAAATAAGATTTTGTTTTTTTGTTTGCAGTTTGAAGATTCATAAGGATGATGAAAAAATAAATATTCAAACTGCAAATAAAAAAATTTAATTATACAAATAATAGATATTGAAATAATTTGTTGAAAATAATTTAAAATTTGTATAATTTTAAAATTAACAAACCTAGAATTTTGCAAAATTTGACATGAGGATATTCTTCTGCAAGAGATATCAGACAGCCATTCATAGCTTCACAGCCAGGTATATTATCCTCGTAAATGTGAACAATAATTATCACTGATTTATCTTCTTGATCAATGGCTTGCAGAAATTGGTCTGTATTCTCCAAATCAATAACTTTTCCAAAATGAAGCTTTTGTGTTTTTGCAAGCATTTCCTTCATTCGTTGTCTCTGATATTCCAGAAGGAATTCATCAGCAAATAAGTTTTCTAATTCTAGATCTTCATTTTGCTTTTCCTTTTCTTCATCTAAAGTACTGCGGCACGTTAAACTCAGTTTCTTGATTAACTGTAGCCTTTCTTTTTCTTGTGATTCTCGTTTTTCTGCTTCTAATTGTTTATATCGTTGCCAATCCTTTCATGAACATTTTAGATTAACATTAAATTAGTTACTAAATATCTGGCAATAAAATTCAAATTTATATATGTGTATTTCATTTTGTTTCTAAATTTTGATATCTTTCCACATTCAAAATATAATTATAGCATTATATATACAATTGTTATACCTTTATAACACCTTTTGGTCCTGTGTTACTACAAGTGCCATCCCATTTTGAATATGAAGGTGCGATATATTGCAGAGGTTCTTCAGTATACTTTACATCATCGCATTCTTTATCAGAATCTCCAGAATCATTTCCTTCATCTTCGCTAGAACTACTGCAATAGTAGTGCAATTTTTCTCCCAAAATTTTATCCTCCAATGTTGACATGACCTTTGAAATTCAAAATTTTGATCTTACAAAATGACAGATTAAGTGTACATACATAATATACATACAAAGTTAGTACACAAAATTTGTGATTGGTATTATAACCAAAACGATCATCCATTCTTTAACTTAATACTTGTAATTGAGAATACACAGAAATTTCACGTTAAATTTATTAAGTAATCAAACAGACTTAAAGAATTGTATTAAATAATTGATTATTTTCAATAGAGAAACGCGTGAATTCTTATTTTACATAGTAAATTAATTTCTTATCATACATTGCACTTATTCTCAGATATTTTATAAAAGAAAAGACTCTCGCCTCTCGTATTATTAGATTAGAACATATTAATATTATTCTTACTTTTAATAGTTGTCAATAGTTTGCAGTAGGTTAGAAACTCATGAGTTTGATCGCTTTGACAAGTTTGACATAAGCTTGAGAGCAGCCAAGTCCTTTTTTCATGGGATCGGCGAAACTTTTATACATTAGCGCCCCCAAGTTCCACTTTAGCATTCTGAAATTAATTAGCCACTTCCATTCTCTGACACTACCGATAAAATCCTATTCTGGTATATCCATGCTACTTTCACAATTCGAAGATATATAATAAGATATATAATTACACATAAGATATATAAGATATACACATCTACTTACGTTCGCGTAATTTTTTCGTAGAATAAGTATTAATAATGTATTGATAATGTATTGTACGTATTAATGAACATTAATTAACGTTATTATATACATTTGCTAACAAACATTTTGCCGACAAATTCATATTCATATGTATAGAATAAAGATAATATATGATAAATATTTTCACATTTCTATAAAATTCCTCGTATTAGATTTCTTGTATATACGATTATTTTTATAATTTACGCTTGCGTAGTAGCGGGAGAAAAAGTAATTCGGTGTATAAAATACATTGCTTGGAAAGATGATTCGTAAATAACAATCTGCGGTTGTCGTGTGACATACAACCTGTTGAATTATTTGTTCATTCCTCGGTTAAAGATTTCGTTGTGAGAAAAGGCGATGAATTTGGGAGAAATTTGGCGATGTAGGAGAAGGTTTGAGAGATGGTTACAGCGATGCAATAAACTCAAATAAAAAAATCATATATTTCCTTTGTCATTTCATTTATATATAACATGTTATATATAAAATATATCTCGAATTCGTATAATATCTAAAAATTGCAAATTTAAAAGAACATAAAATCTTTTTGTCATTCTGAACAAGATGCGTTATAATATGTTAGACATATGTTTGAAAGAACATATGTATAACAGAAAGAAGAAGGAAGAAGGAGGAAACGAAAGAAGAAGGTATATTCGAACACATATCTTTATCATTCGCCAGCTATACCACTATAAATTGTCAATGTAGAGATATAAGAAATATCACAAAAAAACTTGAAAAATAAAAATGCTAATAAAAGTGCTTGCTAGAAATTTGACTATAAATTGTATATCACATATCATATTTTTAAATTTACATGATACGTGATTGTCATTTCAGAACAATCTTCTTCTTACTTACAATTGAAATGCGCGACTACTTTTGGGCATATTAATTATGATCGTCAGTCAATTTAATTAATTTTAAGTGTGATATACGCACTCAAACGCGACGTCGATGTAGCCTCTACCTCAAAACTCAGAGAGACTCATTTTGTCACCCTTAATCAACCTCGCTGTGACTTTTCAAGCCGAGCTCCTCCAAGTTTTTTAAACTTGATCGACGCGTTCGATGAGATCGAGACTCATCGGTCTTTTCGCCATGATACTCCTCGTGATATTCCATTCGCTCTCAGTCTTAAATGTTCAGTTTTGACTCACTTAAACCTGTCACGGAAAAGCTTGTCGAGAAAGGCTTGCGTTTCGTTTAAGTTCAATTTGTCGATCAAGGAAGTTCTTGCCACTTTATTTTTTTATCGGTATAACGTGAGATTCATCTTGGTTATTTCTCGTATCCTTTTTTTTTTCAGGTTTATTTTCATCTGGCTCATGAGTGTCCTCTTCCTCTCTCTCATGTTCTTCCAACACAGCTTTTTCTCTTAGATCTATTGTTGACTGTGGGAGAAAGATAGAAAGCACAATTATGTTTTCAATTATGATGATATGGAAAATATTGTACTATCAGATATTGCGAGGAAAGCAATATAATATAATATAATAATAATATAAAAATAACAATAAAGCAATGAATTTGTACGAATTCATGAAAAAGTCACATTTGAGAAATTTTAAAGGATGTAGAAATTTAGAAATATTATTGTTTCGATATGCTGCTCGAATGTTTTTCTACGGAATATGTTGATAGATAATAAGTTGTGAATTTATTACGAATTGTAAAGTCGAGTGCAAGAAGGCTTGCTACGCTTTGAAGAAGAAGCAATCAAATCGGCTTATTTTTATTTCGTGCATTCAACATTTTTTTCGTGTATCCACAGGAATAATCACAAAGTGAATGAAAATACAAATGTGACGAATCTTAAAGACGATTTTAACAAATGCAAAGCAAAGCCTTTTTGCAAATCAGACCAAGCTATAAATATACATTTTTTTTTTTTATAAAAAAAAGGGGGGTTTACGAGTGGTTTGATTTCACAGGATTAGTGATGATGTATTTACCCCTAGGAGTTCCTTTTTCTCTCGTTCTTCATCTGCTGCAATGCACACAAAAATACAAATATCGATTAAATCATAACATGTAAAACAAAATATTATGAATAATGGAAATTTTGCCCTGTGCTATATAATAATGAAATTAGCCTAGATCTAACGCGAATTCTTGATGAACGTCATAATGTTTTGATTTTCTCTTATATTTTAAAGAAGGATGTATCGCGCTGGAACATGAAATTAGTACATTTCTTATTTTCTTTTTTTGGTACTGAAAATGCGGGAATTTGTTTAACATTTATCAGGAATTGTAAAATTATAAAAAGTGCTACTGGAAATAATATTTGTTGTTTTTTTAAAAATTAATAAAACTTCACAGATACATATTGATAGTGATTTGTTTCAAATATTTTATAGGAAAGAAATTCGAAAGAATTTGGACTTATTATTGAATTTATATAAGAAACCGAAAGATTGAAACAAAATATATCCTGTAGCATCAACTGTTTCTATATTTTCTGTTATAAATGAAAACAAATTAGAATTTTACCTTTTTTATTATTTATTAGGTCTTTGCTTTCCATATTTGGCAGTGGTTTGTATTCTTTGGCATTAGGCACATAAATACCATTCGACTTTTTGTCAATGTCCATTACGTTTTTTAGACCAATCGCTTTTACGTCGATCGTGGTTAATGAAGATTCCATATATTGTTGCGGATGCCTCCGTTGTGAATCGAAAACGGTACTCATAACCGTTCTCGAAGCCGCGTCGCGACGTCGTTGACGATTCTTCTTCTTGCTTCGCCATATCTTGTAAACATACCCGATTATTGCTGCAACTACAAAGATGCAGCATAGGACTATAAAAATATACATTCCGATACCCTGTTGCTCTTGCGGTGATCTTGTAGTGGTTAAATATCGTTTGTCCAGGGTTCTTTCTGATGGAGCTTCGACCCATGCTTTATTGTGACCCTTTAAAGAGATACTTTGTGACTCGAGATATCATTTTTTTTTGTGTCGAATAAACATTTGTTTATGATATTGTTAGGTTATTGGTGTAAATATTAAAGAAAATTTTGTTATAGATTCAAAGTTTTTGCTTGATTGTAAAAACATAATAATTATATATTTTAAATACATAATCGAAAAAAGTTACGTAACAATCTTTGTATTTAGTTAACGATTACGAACTATTTCAAAACGTAATGTAAATTTGCTGCATTATTTATATCTTCATATAACAAGAAGAGATAATAGATTGAGATAATAATAAAATAATATGACATAACGGATATCTGTGTTTAATTTTCGAATTTCTTACCATGCTGAAGTTCGGTTCCAGGTGTAACACCGAACATTGCATGTTTCTAATGCCGGCGGGTATCGTTGCCCGCACAGTGTTGTTACCCTGCTTCATAAAGGACATATATTCCTCTAGTGGTTTTATATTCGCACCCCCATTGATTGATATCGCGACATCTAAAAGAAAAGTATAATTTAATTATTTTTTATTTTGTATTACTGATTATTATGCTTGTTTTGTCTTAAAAACAGAAGATATATAATAAGATTTGAAAATGTCGTTTTTTCAATTAGAGAGATCGGACAAGAAACTCACTACTAAGGCATCCAGTGTATCCTTTGTAAGCGATAAATCGCGGATCAGTCGTATTCAATCCACCAAGTTGTATTTCTGTGGCACCTAGAGTTTTGTCCTCGTCTAGAATCGATATCCCCGGAATTGGCAGCAATTGAACAGGTTCGCGGTCAATCTGGGATTGTATACAAATTATGAGTTACAGTTTATAATACGCAAAAAATTCTACTAAAAAAAAAAAAAAATTACTACTAAAACAAAAAAAAAGTAGAAAACTAACTAAGAGAGTGGTTATGTTGTTGTTGCGATTATAGTAGATGCTATGACGTGCATCGTTTAGGAAATTCCGATCGTTCAGGCGCACTCCAATCACCGAACCATTCCTGTTTTCTTCAAAGATGAGCTGCCCTTCAGACGTTAAGGCCACCAATAAGTAGTAGCTCCTTCTGGAAAAAAGTTTTTCGAAAGACGTCCAGGATTTCAAGCATCGGTGAATGAATCGGTGTAGAAATTTTTGAGTATTATGTAGGTACTAAGAAAAAATTAAAATCAATGTTTTACTTGTTATCAGTTTGTATCAGCAGCAATGCAGTAGTTCGCTGTCGTAATTCGTTCGTTGAGAATGCCAGTTGTACTTTCACCTGATTCACTTCGCCCTCGAGTTTGAATTCACGCTGAAGGGCGCTTTCTCCGCTAAAGTCGGCATCTTTTTCTGTGGAAAAAATTTTTAGAAATACTACAACTTTGTATTGATTTGATGGTTTCTTTGTAAAATAAGCACTTTATCTCACAAAACGTTATTTTAATGGCTTTTTGATTTTTCTATCTTTAAAAAACATAAAAATTAAATTTATATTAAATTTATTTATATTTAAATTTATTTTAGATTGTAATTTTGATTCTGCGAATCTTTTTTTTGTTTGCAACCTTTAGATTTTATTCTTTAGGAATACTTTTTGAAAATGTCGATCTCTCGCAGTAGCATCTTCCTGTTTATTTTCAACTTGAAAAATATATTACTTAAAGCGACAAGTAAACTCACCATCAGCACAATGTTCGCCAAAATAGGATGTGAATTCACAATTGCAAGAAGATTTCTGCCTATGGAAATCTTCTGTGCAAATTCCTGAATTTTTGCAAGGCATTGCATCACATTTCATTTGACAATTCGGCAAAACATCTTCATGATTTGTTTCGCTGGCTAAATTCGGTAGATCGACAAGGTATTTGCCGATCATGAGTCCTCGCAAGCAGCCAACGTAACCTTGAATTAAAGCGCCTTCTTTTCCGATTCTGTGAAAATCGTCAGGATCAAATCCTCCTAA